TTTTTAGCTCCTCTGTTGAAAATGAGGCTCTAACATTCACAAATGACATTGAAATATTTGATTTGTTTGCAACCTACAGAGAATTTTAGTTTTCTGGTTTGGAAATTGACACTAAAATTATTATGATGGTTTAAAAACAGACTTCTGACCTGAATGAAAGTTCTGCCCTTGGTTGTATCACCCTTTTTGGTCATCTGTCCTTAGGAATCTCCAAGGAAGAGGGTTGGAGTTGATGCTGATACACGGGCACGTCTTCCAGAGGTCAAAGCTATACAACAAACTAGAAGGCTACTGGCCAATGCCAGGGAGAGGACTCGTGTTCACACCATCAGTGCTGCATTTGAGGCACTAAGGAAACAGGTTAGACTCTATTTTTATTTAATAAAAAAAAATGCACAAATTATACCCATTTATACTTATATCTCATTTAAACCTGCATGAAAGCAGGTATAAATTTAATATAGAATAACAGAAATATATTTATCTGGTTTTAAAGTGCATGCACAAATATGGAAACACATGTGGATATACTTTAAGTTGTATAAGATTTGATAATTATACATATTTTTGCATGTTAATCTTTTTTTGTGTACATTGTCTATTTTAATAAAAACATGAAAATATATGATTATTACATAACGTAATCTATATATTTGAGTGTTTCTGGTACGCCTGTAAAGCTGACACCCAAGCGACACCCTCAAGCATCTATGATGGACAACAAAAGCACTCTTGTCCCGCTAAGGATTCATTATTGCTTCATAGAAATGATCAGATGGTGTACTGGAAGATTTGCAAGTTGTGCAAACATGAGTTAGTAGTCTCTACCGAAGCTATTCAAGCCTGAAATACCATCTCAATACAATCCACATAAAAAAAAAAATCAAAGAAGTTACATGGATGATCAGGGTTTCCTGAATCAAAACTGAATGGCTGCAATAACACTTTTCACTTGTGTGATTGTTAAATATAATAAATAACAGATTAAAAACAATAATCATTGTTGTTGATCTCACGTATCTATTAATTTAGAAGCAAAAAGAATTTTAAATTGAGAATCCTGCTCATTTTGTCAATATATAGCCATTGATTAAAATGTAGTTAATTGTGATTAACTCAAATAAAAAACAAAAGAGCCCCATCTCTAGATATGGTCCTCGTCAATCTAAGAACTACATTAAGCAGCAAAATTAATGAACAACAAATTTGCTCTTAAACACAACAAAATACACAATACATTTTGACACCCTGATAAGGATTATTACACAGAGGTAAGGTCGACTTAAATTATTTCTGTTGCTGTTGCCATCCAAGCAGTAAAGAATTAAAACCTTGTGTGCAGACAACAAGTGATACCAGAACCTGACTAGTTGGTCCTCTCTGCCACTGCTGGCCGAAACTTGAGGGGCTTAAGAAAAATCTAAATACATTTAAATAAATAATACACTTGAAATGGATGGTGTTTTTGTTTGATTACAGACGCAGAGACTTTATGCATATCATTTATTTTTCCTTAAAAGTACTTATATGGGATTTGAGGTATGTTTATGGTCATCTGCTTACAGAAACTACTTAACATTGACTTTTGTCTCTGGTTTTCTGAAGGTGCCGTGCTACTCCTATGGACAGAAACTTTCCAAGCTTGCTATATTACGTATTGCTTGCAACTACATTCTGTCTTTGGCTCACTTAGCTGAGCTTGACTACAGTCCAGATCACAGCAGTGTGAGCTTCTCTCAGTGTGTGGAACAGTGTACCAGGACCCTACAGGCTGAAGGGAGGAGCAAAAAACGGAAGGTGAGGCAGCTCTCATTTCCAGCTAACCATCCATCATTAAAAAGGATCATATAATACAAATTTTTTTTTGAATCTCTGAATTACCAGGTTTTTACTATTGTCTTATAGGGGGCCAGAGTGGGTCTCATTTTTACTCTCAGAGTTTTATGTGTAAAATAAGGTGACCAGATTTCCAAGACTAAATCTGGGGACATTTCTTGCTCAGAGATAAAAGAAGTAAATTTATCAAAATAAAATGAAGAAAATGGGTCAGTTACAGTTTACATATTTATTAATATTTAAACTTTAAAAATCCAGTATAAAAGCAAGAATGTGTCTCTCCACACTGCTGTTTTATAACAGTAATAATAGCTGTCAGAAATAGAGAACTAAAATTGGAACTAGAAAATTCCTGAAGAAATTTAACCGGGGCCTGCCAAAGTCTGCCTGTCTCTATAGACCCTGCGTTCAAGATATCAGAATATTACTTATGTGCTAACATGGTTCATCATGAAACTGCAATTACTGAAGCTTTAGCCAGGTCCATCACTGCATTGTTATGGCTGATGTGGTTCACTACAGTATAAATGCTGAACCTCAGACACAACAAAATTCAGTCCATGACTGACGACTATAAGCTTCGCACATGTGGTTCTTACTCACAGTTTGAAATAAAAAAAATTAAATAAAGACAGTGGGTAATTGTTTATGTCTCAAAATTTTTCAACCTTCATACTAAGGATTTTAATTCACACTCAAAAATTCAGAGAAATAATAATTTTATCCAAGCAAATTATGAATAGTTATAGGAAATATGTATTCTTCCCACAATGCATTGTGAGACCTGTCTCTGCGCCTGTTTGTCAGACTGCTCATTGCTTCTCTCTGGGACCCGTTGCTATGGTAATTCATTATCTGCACCTGGGCTGGCTCTCTCTGTCAGACAGTATGCTGGAGACAGAGTTTCTATACTTGTAAGACACCCAGCGTCGGTCTCAAGGACCCTGACAAAAAACCATAAGCCCTAGGAAATTTTTGAAAAAATTTTAATATTATATCTTCTATTATCTTCTAATCTAATATTATAGCTAACTCGAGGAAAAAAGATAATAAAAGCTAATCTTATTGCACCGCCTATGGCGGTGCACTTACCTGAGAGGATTATTGAGGCTTTTATTTTGACATTTTTATTAAGCTTCATTTGAAATTGCAACACTAATCCTGGGTGTAACAGTGGTTTGGTTAAACCAGTTATCTAATGCCCAAAAGAGCAATTACATGATGTAAAAATTGTCAAGGCTTTTATTTTGAAATTTTCAGTAAGCTTCATTTGAAATGGCCACACTAATCCCATGTGTAATAATGATTGGGTTAAATCAGTTATATAATGCTCAAAACACAAGTAGTTCAGAATACCAGCTAAGTCCTCCTCTTTAGTAACAGACAGTTCCGCCATGTTGTAGTTCTGACATTCTGCGCAGGTCTCTCTTTTAACTGAGTCTTGGCCATAGATAGAACTACAATGATGGCGTGTTTGTAGTCCTAAGCAGCTCCTCTGCTCTGTGTTCTGTTTCTACAGTAATTAATGCCCTGCCCCTGTTGGTGGCACAGAGCGTGAGAGAATTCTCTGTTTAAGCCAGCCTGTTTCTCACAAAAAAAGCACTTCGAACAACTCCTTCCCGTTCAGGAACTGTGACACGTATTCGAAAACCGTTTGAAGCGTATGAGAGGGCTATTTGTCGTCTCCGATATTCCCGCGATTCATATCTCTACCTCACTCAGTATTAACAGCGATGAGAGAAAGATGAT